GACTGCGGCCATTTGTGGCCCTGGGGGGCAACATGTTCTGGCAAAACTCTAAGACCATCTCCACCTAAAAGTTCCTCTAAGCAAAGTGGTTTTTACAGAACTACTGTTTTAAGTAACGTTGAAATTGTTGAGCACTTGGTTCCTTTAGTCACTTGCAAAGTGAAACATTCATCCGATCCTTACACTGAGGAAGTGAGGAGGTTGAGCCAACATAGTGAAGTACCTGACCAAGAGCAAAGGCTCAAATTCAGTCCTTTTGATTCCAGGTCTAGTGCTCTATATAATTAAGGTTTCATTGGCAGAGAAGTAAAGACTAATGGGGTAAGAGGTGGGCAGGTAGGAAGACTTTCTCCACCATGTCTTTCTCATGACCCTGTTTCATATCTCAACACAATGTGGTCCTGTGAAAATGCAAGTAGTGCATACCCAGAGATGGGCAGAGGGCATTTTATTCATCACTGTTGAGTTTATGGTTCCCTTTTCCAGGGACAGCCTGTTGAGAGTAAGTTTTAATACAGAGAAGCCAAACAATATAAAACAGGACATGAGTCTTTCTCCAGGAGGGAAGATCTTGTGTTTGGAAGCTCAGAGAGTAGCAATGGAGAATAATCCTTGTCTGGATCAGGGAGGGTGGCTTTGGGGAAGGTGAAGGTGGAGGAACTTTCTAATCTTAATTTCCATCCCTACAGCTGTTTATCAGGGACTCCAGGCTGATACACCCTGCTCTGCTGAGGTGACTGAAGTAAGAGAGAGCAAAGAAACAGGGTTAATTATTCTGAGGGAGACAGCGATGCAGCACGGCAGCTCTCTGCAGCCCTTTGTGGGGCTTGCTGCAGAAAGAGATACTTGTTCACTCGGTATGTAGTTGATTAAACATTAATTAAGGCAACAGGAAATTGTGCAGCGTTTTGGAGCAGCAATGTTGAGTCAACAGGGAGGATGTTTGCTAAAGCTCTTGTTTTAGGGATCAATGTCTTTTGAACGAACAATCCTTAAGACTGTGTTTTGCAGCATAGAAACTGCATGAGAGGCAAATACAGTACGTTTCCTGTTTTTCACATCTATCAGTTGCAGGGCATTGCGTCATGTTAATGTATGGTAAGGAAAAGCTAAGGAAAATTAAACGTAAGTTTAAAACATTTCATTTTATTTCTTATTAATTATTAGACTATGAATCCTAGCCACTGACAAAGGTGAAAAATGATAATATTTAGTCTGGGTGAAGATGTGTGTAAATGGTCACTGTCATAAAACAGTGTAATGATTTCAATTCTCGGACAGTTTGGTAGCACAGCAGTAACACGATGCTCAGATGAAGCTGGGTCCTTCTGGAAGATCGTGAGTTCAGTTCCTCAGTTTTACCTGTACATGCTGGGCACACACACTCACAGTTCTGGCTGACTGGGAAGACTGGGAGAGAATCACTCTGTGAGCCCTCAGGGTGCTTGGCTTTCTCTCTGTCTCTCACTCTTATGAAGAACAATTTTTGAGAAAATTTTAGTTCTCTCTCAAATTAGTCTATCAAGTACTGATTACATAACCCACTGGGATCTTTATAAGCAGGTTTAAAAATTTGCCTGCTGGGGGAAACAAAAATAACATAAAATCATTTTGAAAAAGACCAAGTAAGGATTTGTCCTTCCAAACATAAAAATTCATGAGACCAGCAGGTGGTATAATGGTTACATTGTTGGAATCCCACATAGTCATCCATGGTTCAAGTCCCAGAGCAGGAGGTTTGAAACACATTTGGCACATGTGTATGCATGTTCAAAATCCTGAGAAGAGAATGGAAGAGAATGGATTGTGGTATGGCCATTCCCTTTGTGTGTGGGGGGGATGATTTCTCGCTTTCTGTCTCTTTATCTCTCTCTGTCTCTCTAGCAAGTACATGCCCTATAGCAACAATCTCTCTAAAAAAAATTAATAAAATCACAGGGGTGGATATAAAACTATAGAAATAAAGAATGTGGTATTTATGTAAGAAAGGCCAGTTAATCAATGATACAGGAGATAGTATAAAGCAAAACTCTTCCTGGATATGTGTTGAATTCATTTTAGGATGCATTTTATACCAGCAGGAAAAAGAAGAACCATTTATTGAATGGTTTTATGTAACTGAGAAGATGAAATTACATCCTTGCCTTACAAAAACAAGCATTATTTGAACAACATTTTCTAGAAAGGGCCAGATGGCAAATATTTTCAGCTTTGGGGGCCATACAATTTTGGCAAGTACTCAGCACTGCCATTGCTGTCCCAAAGCAGTCGCCAGCACTATGTAACAGATATAGCTGTGATCCAATAAAAATTTACTTACAAAGACAGGCAGCTTCCTCATCCCTAGATTAAAAGACCATTGGCACTAAAGAAAAGAAAAGCCATATTATGAGATATGGGGAAGTCTGTTACAACATCAGTGCAAAGAGATCCTCTTAGTAAAATGTGAATTAAATAATTAATTAGAAATACACAACTTGGGCAAGAGCGTGGGTAAAGGTTTTGTTTATTTGTATGGGTAAATGTTTTTAAATGTATTCCTTTGGGGCATTAATTCCATTATAAGGAATTAATCCTATAGAATAGATTGCATCCATATACATTGGTATATCTACATCTCTGTAGGTATAACACATCTACTCATCTATATGTAGAGTATCTCTGTAAACCTATGTATAGAAAGAGGTAAAAATACGTAATGGCCATCAACAGGGAATTAATTGAATTATTGTACATCTATACTATGCCTGGCAGTTAAAAAGAGAAAGGTAGTTCAACACATGTACTGAAAGATACCCTTGATAAATGTTTTTAAAAAGCAATTGCTTTATGGAATTCGTAGTAAAATCTTACTTTTGTTATAAATAATATATATTATATACATACATAGAAAAAAATTCTAAAAAGATAGACATCAAATTACCTCTGAAGGTAGGCTAGGGGTTGGAGTGAGTGTCCAGACTTCCCTCAATGTCCTGTATATGCATCTACACGGTTTGCATTCTAGTGAGCACATTACCTACATATTGAGACAAGAGATCTTCTAAGAGGCTGTTCTCAGAATTATGAGACGTGTGGCACAGAACTGGGGAATTCTCTGGCTACTTTCTAGAGACAAAGATGGGAGGAGAGATGGGTGTAACTATCTTATGGGTTTCTGTGGAAACAACCACACTGTATGCCATGCTTAAAGCCAGATCTCTGAGGGCAGGGAAGGGGGAGGTAGACATCCACAAGGGATGAACCAGGAAGGGCATGCCTTGAACTAAAAGTATAGTCATGGTCACTGCATGGCTTTTCTGCTCTAGGACAGGGTAATTGGCCTCCAGGCTACTGAAAATATTTATTATGAGGGATAAATAAGATGAAAGTTGTATAACATAAATATAACCATTAGTCTCTCTGTTCGATGCAGTTTCTCATTCAAACGAACAGTGGTCCCATTAAGAAGTGACCTCTTGAGTGGTTTGATTGTGTCTTCTCAAGATTCATGTGTTAAGACTTGGTGAGACATTGTCAAAGTATTAGAGAGCAGAAACTTAATTCAACTACAAGATTAAAAGGTAGAGACTTTGAGAAGTGACTAGGACCGGACAGGGTTAGCAGGTGGGGACCCCATGATTGAAGCCTGCTGGGTTTATAAGGAGAGGCAATGAGACAGACAGACACATGCTCTGATATGTGTATGTTCCTGCCCTTCATGTTATTCATGAGCAAGAAGACTGCACCAGATGTGACCCCTGGATCTTGGATTTTCAAACCGTGAGCTGAATAAACCACTATTTTATAAATTATCCAGACTTAGATATTTCTGATTAGTAACACAATGGACATGAAAAAAAGTCTTGAGAAATACCAGAATTGTTTCACTGTGGCTGTCTATAAAGAGACAGCATAGAGTTTGATGGAGGGTGGTGGGGAGGAGGGGGACTTCCCTGAAAGCCTCTTTCATCATCTTCTCTTCTCTCATTCACAGCAGCTGCTGAGATCATGTCTCCCATCTCATTCACAGCCCTCACAGACACATGCTTCACAGATTTTCTTTTCTTCTTCTTTTTCTTTATTTTTTAATTTTAATTTTTTATTCTACAGGCCATGTGTGCTCAAAAGAGAAAGACAGGGAAGAAGGGAAAGTGAGAAATCACTGCCAGGGGGATGGCCATGTCATGATCCCTTCTCCCCCATTCTCCTATGGCTTTGGGCACACATGCACACATGCACAGCATGATTTTCAAGCTGCTGGGTTCGATTTGAACTGCAGTCAGTCACGTAGGAATCCAGCACCTTAACCACTATGCCACCTGCTGGCCCTCTGCACATTTTTTTTTAAAGAATTATTTTATGGAACATTTATTTATTTATTTATTTATTTTAATTTGGCCAGAAAGTGAGAGAGAGAGAGAAAAAGAGGGAAAGTGAGAAAGCAAGCTGCCTGTCTGGGACTCAAACTACAGTTGGCCATGTGGGAGTCCAGTGCCCTTAACCACCATGCCACCTGCTGTCCCCTTCCTCCCCCCCACCCCCCGCACATTTTTTTCATCTCTCCTCAAAGAATTTAGCTTACACGTAACACCTACCTCCAGGTTCTTCAGACGTAAAATCTGTCCTTGGCTAAGACTGCTATTCTTATGAGAATCATACCCCATGATAAGGTGACTAAAGGAAAATGCTGAAGCTTTCTAAAAGCTTCATGACTAAGAGCCCACTTATACCTCTAGTATGACGTCTCTTCTCCTTGTGCTATTTGCAGTTCTTCCAAAATCACCATGCTCCTCTCTTCTGAGCACTAACCCTCCTTCATCTGACTCTCAATTAATTCAGAGGTCTTAGCTGCCATCTCTTCCAGGAAGACTTCTGTGATATTCCTAGTTGGGTTAGGTGCCCCTTTCCTGCTATGTAGCTCAGTTCTGGCACCTCTGATGACACTGATCACACCACTTCATACTTACCTCTGTGTCATCCATAGGGGAGTGAGTTCCATGAGGATCAGGACTGTGTTTGTCTTGTTCATTCCCAGCATCTACACAATGCCTGGCACCTAAAAGACAGTTGACAAGTGTTTGTTGAATGCTTGAAGACAGGAGCACCTAGCTTAAGGAGCTTAGGCAATCTCACTAGGTCTTTTTTTATGCACAAGAATGCTCTCAGATGTCTGCCTTTTCAACTTCAAATTCAGTCTATAATTCAGATCCAAGGCCAGGAATTATTTTCACAGTGGGAGCCCATGAGTGAGCCTCTCTGCAAAACTGAAAGTATGCTGAATGTCTATCAATAGAAAAATGGATAAAATATAGAACATTTCTGTTTTACAATATTTTACAACTCCTGAAGTAAAACGGAACCACATATCCTGACCCAGAGGGATGTCCATAACACAATTTGTGAAAGAGGCAGATGCAAAGCAGTATGCGTATTAGGATACGATCTCATTTTTGTAACGACAGCAACAAAAGTAGAAGCAAAGAAAATGAAAAAAGTATATAGGAGTAAATATACTTATACATGTGTGAATAAACATAAATTGGTGTAAATAGATTCCTGTCACATTGCTAAACATGGCTCTCTGTCAAGAGTTGAATTGGCAAGGAAGAAACGATGAACTCTACATATTTTTGTAGCATTAATGCATAGAAGTGAAAATACATTTTTAATGCAATTATTAAACCTAGTGGTACACTGAGGTCACCAGAGATCCCCCGATTTCCTTTTGCTTTCTTTCTTTTTTAAAAACTTGCTATAGGACATGTGTGCTTTCCAGGAAAAGAGACAGGGAGAAAGAGAGAGAAATAAAGGGAAAGTTAGAAAGAATCCTCTAGAGGAGATGGCCATGCCATAATCCATTCTCCTTCATTATACATAAAAATGTAAATTATATTTATATAAAAATATATTTATAGATAATATATATTTACATATGTTTTTATACACAAATATATATAAGTTTATATTTACATATATATTAGTTGGGAAAGTCATGATGTATTTTTCTACACAAAATTACGTCATGACTTTCCCAACAACCCAATAGTATCCATATACAGTAAGAATTCTAGAAAAATAGACATCAAATTACTTCTGAAAGTAAGCTGGAAAGTTAGCCATCTATATAGTTTCAATACATTATAGTGAGCACATATTTGCTAAACATAGGAAAGAGAGGCTGTGTTCAGAATTATGGGAAGTGCAGCATGGAATTAGGGAACTCCGGCTACTTTTCTAGAGCTAGATAAGAGAGGAAGGAGGAGTGTAAAAATCACCTTTTGGTATTTGGGGCACACACACACATGCACCCAGTGTGTTTTTCAAGTAACCAGATCTGGGACTTGTGCAGTTGGTCATACGATCTCCAGCTGCCTTAACCACCATGCCACTGACTGGTCACAACCCGCCCCTTCATTTTCAAAATACTGCTTCATAAACTATAATGTACATGAATATCACCTAAGGCTTGTGAAGCCCATACTTCTGGGTCCCACCATTGGAGTATCTGACTCAGCAGGTCTTGAACAGGGCCTGAGAATATGCATGTTTTACATGGTCCCAGGAGGCGCTGATGCTGCTGGTCCATGAACTTGACTTTAAGTAGCTCTATTGTATATTCAGCTTCCCTGAAAAAAGAGATGTCAAAGAAACCTGGGAAGGACTGACTAAAGTGTTTCCAAGTGTGACGCTTGAGTGTCACCAGTGAAGAGAAAGTGCACTCATTCTATTCAGTGGCAATGAGTACCTCTTCAGCACCTGCACTGTGACTCAAAGAGCAGAAGTTGTCCTACGTGTTGTTCAAGGACATTGAGTGTAGTGCTGCTGTTGGTTATTGATATTCTGAGACTTGCCATATCTGCCCTCCTTAGCCTCAGGGTAGATAATTGCTTGCCTGCGTGCTGTGTGAAATAAACCTTTGCTTTTCTCAAGATGGAAATACAACAACTTGTGATACCACCGGATCTGGGACCTAAGAGATAACAACCATAGGGGGAAAGGTCTGTTAGAGCTGCCCTGTATTGGGAACATAATGCTATTGAAGCCAGTTAGTTACTGTTCTCATAGACGACTTGTTTGGTTGTTAAATAGAAGACCTAGTAGTGGAGTGAGGGTTATTGGGAGTTTCAGGAAGCAGCCAAGGGGTCAGCTATATCATTAGAAATTCACTCAATGTAAGTAGATCTCTCATAATCTTTGGGTGACTGAATAGCCAGATAAGCAAGTGGTTCAGATTACAGGCTTTGGCATTAGATGAACTTGATTTTGAATCCTAGCTCTACCATGGTCTAGATGTATGATCCTGAGCAAAATACTTAATGTTCCTGAGCCTCAGTTTTTCCCACCTGTGAAAGGGAACCAGTAATACGTGCCATGTAGTCCAGCTAGGTAGCATGGCATACTGCAAGCAATGCTGGATCCACATGGAAGGTCATGGGTTCAATTCCTCCGTCGACCTGTACATTCTAGGCACATGTCTGTGATCCTGGTTAGCAGGCGGAGGGGAGATCACAGCATGAGACCCTCCTGAGGGTGCTTGTACTTCTTTCGGTCTCTCAGTGTCTCACTCTCATGAAGGAAATAAACTTAAACTGCCATCGAGGATTTTCATTGACATTAAAGAAAATAACATTATATTTAAAGATTCTACTATTTTTATAGTCATCATCACTATTATTCATTGATTTTAAGATATACATTAATTTTTTATTTTATTTTATTTTTTATACATTCAATCACATTATTTCGCTTACAGAGTGAACATTTCAATATTTGAACATTTCTCCTCAGTTAATCAAAATATCTTCAACAGAACACTACACCTCCCCATCCTGTCAATGCTCTGGCTCCGTATCCCTCCTCCAAATGTACTTCCCCAGACTCCACTCCTCCACACACCACACACACCACATCTGGCACTACCCCCCATCTCTTGTGTTTGTACAACCTTAGGTCAATCAGTTTCAGTCAGAGAGTGCAGACACTCGGTATATATTAAGTGGGGACATACAATTTCTCTCCTTCATAACCTGGCTTGCTTCCCGTTTTTTTTTTTTTTTTTTTTAAGAGAGGTTGTTGCTACAGGGCATGTGCGCTTAGTGGAGAGACAAAGACAAACGCCCCCAGGGGAGAGAGCCACACCACAGCCTCTTCTCCTCTATTCTCCTCTTGGGATTTTTTGGGCACATGTGCACATGTGCTGAGCATGAGTTTTAAGCCACTGGGTCCAGGACGTGAACTGTGGTCAACTACGTGAGAGTCCAGGAACATAATCATTACAACATCTGCTGGCCCCCACATTAAAATTTTTTTAACATCATGGAAATCAGGAAGCACCTAACAGTTGCTCTTGGGCAGGCAGCTGCTGTGATATAATTATGATCTGTGCATTAATACTTGCAAAATGGGTATTAGCAGCTTGTAAGAAAATCCCAGAAATGACAGTGCAGTTCTCATTTAAGAAGTGCAGCATTGCTAACATTCTTGGTGGCCTAAACTTGAAGATGATATTATGGTAAAAAAACATGGATGTGGATAATGATGAGCTAAAAAGTGCCTCAAGAGAGTCAAATTCTCAGTGGGTGAAGAAGTTTTAAAAATATCATAACTAGGGCCAGCAGGTGGTGTAGTAGCTAAGGCACTGGGCTTCCACATGACTGGCTGCAGTTCGAGCTCCTGACTCAGCAGCTTGGAAATCATGCTGAATGCGTGGGTGTGCATGCCCAAAGTCCTGAGAGGAGAATAGAGAAGAAGAGATTGTGGCACAGCCATCCCTATAGGAGGTGATTTCTCAGTTTCCCTCTGTCTCTTTCTGGTAAGCACATGTACCCTAGAGCAAAACCCCTAAAAGCAACAAAACCCATTACTGTATCATTCAAGGTCCAAGGTACTGGTTTCTCATCACTAGTACGGACCAAATATAACCTTTTTTTTTTTTTTTTTTTGGAGAGATTTTCACTGTAGAGCGTGTGCGCTCGCCAGACAGACAGAGAGAGAGAGACATAGAGACAGAAAGTGAGAAATCACCCCCCAGGGGGGATGGTCACGCCGCAATCCCTTCTTCTCCATTCTCCTCTCGGGATCTTGGGCACGCACGCACACGCGCCTGGCGTGAGTTTTAAGCCACCGAGTCCAGGACACGAACCGCGGTCAACTACGTGGGAGTCCAGCGACATAGCCATTACGCTAACTGCTGGTTCCCAGGACCAAATATAACCTTAAAACATAGGAATTAAGGAACATTTAATACAGGAGCAATTTATAAATTGTGGGAATGGTTTAAGAAAACCAGTAAAGGATAGTGGAGTATCTCTGAGTCAGAAGAGCAAGGATCAGTTACCACTCCTTCACTTGAAGGGGTAAGGGAGAATGGTTATCAGACCCCATCCAAACACCTGCCACCTAGAGTATACCTGTTTGAGGGAGTGGCAGGAGCTGTGGCCTTTGACAGAAGGCAAATACTTAGAAGGGAGAGAACTGAAAGAATACAGATATTCCACCCTCTGACCTCCCTCTGGTGCTCCCCACTGGTTGAATCAACTAGAATCCAGAAAGCAAGGGGCACTTTCATAAAGTCCTTGAAGGTCAACCTCTTAGAGCACAAAACAGGATTGGAAGCATGAGGGTGAATTAAAGGGCCAAGCAGTGTACATCTACACACTAACCAACTTATTACTTCTATTTTTCTTTTTATGGATGCATGAGAGTGACACATGACTTACCTATCTTTCTGAATGTGTCTAATACATCTCTGTGTAACCGTAACATAAAAATAGTGATTGAAATCAAAGTTCTGTTGAGCTGTGGGGCCTGGCAAAGCTTGGGAAAGATTACAATATTCTACCTTATATCACGCGAATAAACTCAGATCTAAATGTAAAAAGTAAAGCAAGGCAATCTTTAGAAGATAACACTGGAAAATGTTTTCTTCGTGTTGGGTAAACAGAGATTTCTTTAATAAGACATGAAAAAACAATAACTGTAAGTGAAAATGTTAATACACATTAAAATTAAGAATTTTTGTTTATTAAGAAGGAATGGTGTAATGACTATGTCGCT